GCTTTAGGGTCACATATTCAGACCACGTTATTTGACCTACTACCCTTCCCAGACTTACCTGCTATAGTTCCTTTAAGTACTTCTGGAAACTCTTCTTTGTTAGAATTCATTGTTAATATGCACAGCCACCAATACCTGTGTGATTGCTACTAGTATCAGTTTGACTTTATACTAGAATTCGATATATTCATTCTGAATTACTATCTACCTTTTAAAATTATGGTGCTACAAAATGGATTACTAATTAAATATGTTTTTGTTTTCAAATTTGACTGAGTTATCTGTTTTGTTTTTTTAAGTAACTAAATCAAAATGTCCCTCTTATGTTGGGATCACGGGAATTATTCTACAGGAAATGAAGCATATTTTCAAAATTATCACTAAAGAAGACAAATTAAAAGGTATGTAGTACAAGTTTTCAGTATCTTTCATATTTTGAGTAGTCAGAAATACTGTTCTTGCATACTACTCATCTGCTGCTTTCTTTGTATGCCCAAATGACAGTGTAGGCTATATAATACTTATTAATCAGAATTATGCAACTATGTTCTTGTCAAACAGAATTCTTACCAGAGCAGAACAGCCATGGGCAGATTGGCTTTGTGGAAAATAGCAAAATATATATGGAATGTTTATCTGTCACTTTTGATGCTCTTTCTGAAATACTTACAGGATGTTTGAAAACATTGGACGCTCTTAAGCATTGGAATTATTGAATTAAGGCCTTTTAAAACTTGGTCATGCCAAATACCAGAACTTTGAAGGACAGAGATTTTCAGTAGTACTTAACTGACAACTTTTTTTTTTCTCTTTAACTTTCAGTTATTCCCAAGCTTAACAATGTATTTAGCTTGGAGGTTGATGGCTTTATTTCCCACATCTATGGTAGCAAGTTCCAGCTTAGAGCAAGTGAGCGTTCTGCAAAGAAGTTCAAAGCAAAAGGAACTATTGATCTATGACTTTAAGGAAATTCGAAGAGATTGGGGCTATGCTCATAAACTGAAAACCAAGTTTAAAAACGTGGACTTCTACATCTTCTTCTAAAAAATTTCTTTATACAGAAGTATGAATTACAAGAAAAATTTAAATTGCATCTATTTTATGTATGGGGGAGGGTTTGCAGTAATGTGTCAATATTTCATTTCTTGAAAAATAGAATAACATTTTTCATCCTTTTTTATAGTAAACTATTTGATTCACATCTCTTTATTTAAAAAAAAAAATCCTTTTCCAATTATTGCTTCACTTAATGTAAGTTTTTGGTTTTGTTGTTTTAGTGTATATAATAGATTTCAATTTACTTATTTGCAGATAAATCATACTGTGAAGCATGTTACTTGGAAAATGGATGAATCCCAATTCCTGTTGTTAAAGGATGTCTCTGACTTATTTCATGGACAGACAGGGTTACATAGAGGAAGTCTTCCATACATCTTACAGTGCTTGTAAGAAGACTGTAGAAGATTTAAGGCTTCTACACTATGATCACTGTTTGGTGGTATAAATATCTGATATACATGATATAATTTTTATTAGTTAAATTTTATACAGTTGCTTTAAACTATTTTTTTCTATACCAGGAGCAGCTCTTTCAACTGATCAGTTTCACATTGACCTATGTGTTCTTATGTATACACACACCAGTGCTTACAAACAATATACAGATGAGGGAAGCATAAATGTATAGATAAGATTGGAGCAGTCTTTCTAGCTGCAAAGAATGAAACTATAGCCTGTCTCTCTCACTGTGGTGGGACTTGACTCAAGAAATTTAAAGAAGTGGCTACTCTGCCAGATTACCCATTTTGGCTGTCTTGCATTTGGAAACTGCAGAGATCCCTTTAAAATAATAGGACGCTTGTAGATTTCACTGTGAAATAGAATATAACATTCACAGGGGAAGGGTTTACTCAATCCTTTTTCCACCTTCCTCCAAGTCCTCTGATTCTTTTTAAAAACTCCAAATACTATATGGAGACCCCTCTGTTTTGAATCTGACAATTATTAAATCAGATTGCTCTTCCCTCACAGCCATCCTAGTGTGGCAAACAAGACCTAGTCAGCGACTCCTCCTGATGGCCTTTTAAGGTTCATATGTGAGAGAATATTTAAAGGGGGGAATAAATTTAACACTCCTAAAAGCAGTGCTGAGAGTAAGTTTTGTAATGCAAAGCTTCTTTATTGGTGTACTTTGCCTATGTTGAGGAAATGAAAGGAATATCCTTATACATTTTGCCCAAGAATTGCAATTTATTTTTCAAAGACTACTGTGCTGAAACGGTTTAAAAAAATTGAACATAGGCTTATGTTGTAGTAAAAAGAAAGACAATATTAAACTAGTCAAGATTTTGAAGAGCACCTCTGAAAACAGAAAATGTCTTTGTAGGTAAAATTCTCAATGCATAAAATCTTCCCTTTCCAACCCTAATATTTTGATATGTATTTATTGTATATAATGTGCAGATGTTTGCACCATTAATGTGTTTTGTATGTGGTTCTCTGGATTTTAATGTGAGTTTGTTTAATAGGTAAGAGAAGAAACATCCTTCCAATAACTGAGCTTTTTCAGTCAGACTCTGGAGTAAAGGGTTCCTTCCCAACACCCTATAATCTCCTCTTTGAAATAGCATATAATCTTGTGCCAGGGAAATTACTAAATGCTCAAATCTGTGGTGCTGCTACATAACTACCCTCTAAAGAATGCTTCAGAGTGCTTTCATCTTCTTGAAGACCAACTGAAAAACAGTGAATTTCCTATCTCTCGTTGCTCTGGAGTTCCTCTCCTTCCTAAGATTCTTATAGTATGTAGTGATCCCTGGGGAAAGGGCAGGGATCAGTGTTCATGTCCCACTCTCCATTAGTGCCTGGGCCTAGCCAGGAAAACCAATTATCTAACTAGTGGACCAAATCGATGATGAATTCCAATCACGTGCACCCTGAGACGTTGTACATATGCTGAGGATTACAATGGATGAGAAGCTGGATGGGTCACAGTGACTGTTAACAGTGTTGCCAAGAAAGCTAGTGGTATATTAGGCTGTATTGGTGGGAGCATTGCCAGCACATTGAGGGAAGTGATTATTCCCCTCTCTTCAGCACTGGAGAGGCCATACCTAGTGTACTGCATCCAATTTTGGGCCCCCTATCACAGAATACATGTGGATAAACTGAAGAGAGTCCAGCGGAGATAAATGAAAATGATTAGGGGGCAGGAGCACATAACTTGAGAAGCTGAAGGAACCTGTCTTATTTAGTCTGCAGAAGAGAAGTGTGTATGGGGGATTTGGTAGCAGTCTTCAATTACCTGAAGGGCGGGGGGGCAGTTCCAAAAAGGATGGAACTAAGCTATGTGAATCTATGCCTCAGTGATGGCAGAGGACAGAATAAGAGCAATGGTCTCTAGCTCAGGGAGGGAGGTCCCACACTACAGTGTGGGAGGTCTGGGTTGGCTATCAGGAAAGAAAATCACTAGGAAGGTGATAAAGTACTGGCTAGGGAGGTGGTGGAATCTCCATCCTTACGTTTTTACAGTCCAGTTCGACAAAGCTGGGGCTAAGTTGATTTAGTTGGGGTTGGTCCTGCTTTGAGAAGGGGTTGGACTAGATGATCTCCTGAAGCCTATGATTCTAACTCCTTGTGGGAACAGTCATATCTGCTCTCAGCCTTCCTGGCTTGTTTGTCCTAGCAAAAGCTGTTAGAAAAAGAACAGGCTGAACCAGAGGTGACTGGGGTAATAGGGTACTTTTATTGTTGATACTCATTTGGTCTCGGATCCCTCCTCCCTGGGATATGAGCAGTGTTCCCTCTAAGCTGTGTGGCAGCACAGCTTCATGGGTGATTAATCAGTCCTGCTCGGTCAGAAGCTCAGGGCTCTGTGCACAGAACTTACTGACTGGATACAGCTGTGTGCTCATCTATCCTGAGCACGCAGGGAAGGAGGAATTAAAACAAGTCTGTAAATCCTAGAAGTAGGGTATTCCTGTGCCATGCTCCACTAACATGGTTGCAACTACCAAGACCCCTTATTTGACCCTTACACCCCCCCAACATAAGCTATTTTAGATAATCTCATTGTAATAGACAGGAGGAGTGCTGACCAGCCACTAAGAGGTTAAACTCAGATAGCTAGTAAAGGTGTTGGCTGGGGAGGGGCTGGGAGAACCAATCGAGATAGTGTTGAAATTTGGATTGGATATAGATTCCTTGTCTGCTTTGTGGGAGAGAGAAACCAGGAGTTGACACACAGAATGGTTTAAACCCAGACAGGGCTACTGTGTCTCCAAGGAATTTGGGGCATGGCAATGGGCCAAACAAAGAGAAAATTAGAAGCAAGTAAAAGGAAAAATGAATCTAGTCGTGTTCTGGGTGATTTTTCTTTATTTTTGTGGTTTGGTTTGAACTGCTCTATGTGAATCTATGCCTCCCCTCCCTATTTACGACCTTGCATTGTGCCCAGAGACTTTTCTCTGTGTTTTAATTTGTTTTCCTTAGTTGTTCTGTAACATCTAGCAACCAAGTATGCTTTTTCAAGTTTCTTTTGTTTTATAATAAAAATCACTTTTTTTTAAGGTGGTGATTTGATTCTTATGTCCTGAAAGGGCTGTTTCTGTGTGAATCTACATACTTCAGACTGAAGGGTCAGCTACCAGAGACTGCAGCTTGTTTTTCTCTCTTTTTTTTTTTTTTAAGTTCTTTGGGGGCAAAAGAGCTTACGGTACCCCGGGGGGTAGGGGAGGTTCAAGGGTTCACCCCTAGTTTTAGGGATAAAATTACTTGATGGTACTAGCAATTCTCCGAAATCTGTGTATTGTGCTTCTGCAGGGAAGTTTTGGATAACCAGCGCCTGTAGAGGCAAGATTTTTTTTTTAAGCTCTCTTGCAGGCCCTCACCTTCTGCACTCAAAGTGCCAGAGTGGGGAACAGCCCTGACTCTCGTAAAATAGAATTTCCATTACCTGAACATCATAGTAAACCTGCTCTGACCCAGTTCCTATGTGACAGGGCTTTGGTGTCCTATCATTGGGCCTGTGAGACAAACTGTATTCTGCATCTTATTGGACAATTTACCTCTGCTCACGTACGTGTGTGTGTGTGTGTGTGTGTGTGTGTGTGTGTACGCACCTGTCCCTCAGATCAGAGGCAGTCATATATTTGTTTCAAAGTTTCATTCTTCAAGCATTCCTATTTGCAGGTCTTGTTAGCCAACACACATAGATTAGGCATAGAACATGCCATATTAATATTGTATTATACCCAGCATGTTGGCAATTGTTAACCCAATTACGTTGTCTTTTCTACAGTTCTGTCCACATTGCTCACTTTTTTATCAAGAGAGATACACCTCTCTACAAAGCAAAACATACCTGTTGGCATTAGCAAATATAAAATTTGTCAAACACAAGATATGTTTGCTCTGTGTCCCAGTACAGATTCCTTCATGGGCCGCTTATTTAAAATGTAGTATCCAAAACAGATAAAAGGTACAGAACAACAAGGTAAGGAAATGGTAGATTAGATCTTATAAAAAGCTTTCAAACTTCTGGTTATCTCTGCTATAGAAGTGGTTTGGGGGGGTGTATTTTGGGGAGTGCACCTGTGTGTGGCAAACTGACAAAACTATTAGAAACAACTTCCCAAAAGGATCAGTAACACAGTAACTCTTTCCTGTACTGTAGTATCACTTTTTACCAATAAATTGGCTAGGTTTGGTTAATTGGTCTCTCGAGTATATTTCATAATGAACTACAAGTATAGTCCAACAACTGGATGCATTTGTAGCATCATACTCTCCTGAGGTTTCCACCAGGGTTGCTGCATTTATGAAAACTGACTTTTATGTTTCTCAAGAGGGCTTCAAAATTAGTCTAACGGTGGGTTCACATTATTATTCACATGAGTGCTAAGCACTTAAATTTGAATAATTACTGAGTTTTTAAAGATCTAAGAGGAGTCCAACTAGAATTTGAAGCTTAGTGTGCCGTAGAACCAACCCTGCCACAATACTCAAGTAAAGAGACACAGCATTCATAAAATTATATCAATAGCTCCCACAGTCT